TTTCGACCCGAAAAAAAAACGACAGTGTTACCCCTTACGTTTTTTTTTTGGGCGAAAAATTAAGTATCCCCAATCTTCTCGAAACTCTGGATTCTGATAGAGGGCACTGAGACTTACACCTGAGTGCAAAAATGGAGGCTCTAGACCCTTCCAGAGCTGAGATATCGAAACTCAAAATTTCGACCCGAAAAAAAAACGACAGTGTTACCCCTTACGTTTTTTTTTTTTGGGCGAAAAATTAAGTTATCCCCAATCTTCTCAAACTCTGGATTCTGATAGAGGGCACTGAGACTTACACCTGAGTGCAAAAATGGAGGCTCTAGACCCTTCCAGAGCTGAGATATCGAAACTCAAAATTTCGACCCGAAAAAAAAACGACAGTGTTACCCCTTACGTTTTTTTTTTGGGCGAAAAATTAAGTATCCCAATCTTCTCGAAACTCTGGATTCTGATAGAGGGCACTGAGACTTACACCTGAGTGCAAAAATGGAGGCTCTAGACCCTTCCAGAGCTGAGATATCGAAACTCAAAATTTCGACCCGAAAAAAAAAACGACAGTGTTACCCCTTACGTTTTTTTTTTTTGGGCGAAAAATTAAGTATCCCAATCTTCTCGAAACTCTGGATTCTGATAGAGGGCACTGAGACTTACACCTGAGTGCAAAAATGGAGGCTCTAGACCCTTCCAGAGCTGAGATATCGAAACTCAAAATTTCGACCCGAAAAAAAACGACAGTGTTACCCCTTACGTTTTTTTTTTTTTGGGCGAAAAATTAAGTATCCCCAATCTTCTCGAAACTCTGGATTCTGATAGAGGGCACTGAGACTTACACCTGAGTGCAAAAAATGGAGGCTCTAGACCCTTCCAGAGCTGAGATATCGAAACTCAAAATTTCGACCCGAAAAAAAAACGACAGTGTTACCCCTTACGTTTTTTTTTTTTGGGCGAAAAATTAAGTATCCCCAATCTTCTCGAAACTCTGGATTCTGATAGAGGGCACTGAGACTTACACCTGAGTGCAAAAATGGAGGCTCTAGACCCTTCCAGAGCTGAGATATCGAAACTCAAAATTTCGACCCGAAAAAAAAACGACAGTGTTACCCCTTACGTTTTTTTTTTTGGGCGAAAAATTAAGTATCCCCAATCTTCTCGAAACTCTGGATTCTGATAGAGGGCACTGAGACTTACACCTGAGTGCAAAATGGAGGCTCTAGACCCTTCCAGAGCTGAGATATCGAAACTCAAAATTTCGACCCGAAAAAAAAAACGACAGTGTTACCCCTTACGTTTTTTTTTTTGGGCGAAAAATTAAGTATCTCCAATCTTCTCGAAACTCTGGATTCTGATAGAGGCACTGAGACTTACACCTGAGTGCAAAAATGGAGGCTCTAGACCCTTCCAGAGCTGAGATATCGAAACTCAAAATTTCGACCCGAAAAAAAAACGACAGTGTTACCCCTTACGTTTTTTTTTTGGCGCGAAAAATTAAGTATCCCCAATCTTCTCGAAACTCTGGATTCTGATAGAGGGCACTGAGACTTACACCTGAGTGCAAAAATGGAGGCTCTAGACCCTTCCAGAGCTGAGATATCGAAACTCAAAATTTCGACCCGAAAAAAAAAACGACAGTGTTACCCCTTACGTTTTTTTTTTTGGGCGAAAAATTAAGTATCCCCAATCTTCTCGAAACTCTGGATTCTGATAGAGGGCACTGAGACTTACACCTGAGTGCAAAAATGGAGGCTCTAGACCCTTCCAGAGCTGAGATATCGAAACTCAAAATTTCGACCCGAAAAAAAAAACGACAGTGTTACCCCTTACGTTTTTTTTTTTTGGGCGAAAAATTAAGTATCCCCAATCTTCTCCAAACTCTGGATTCTGATAGAGGGCACTGAGACTTACACCTGAGTGCAAAAATGGAGGCTCTAGACCCTTCCAGAGCTGAGATATCGAAACTCAAAATTTCGACCCGAAAAAAAAACGACAGTGTTACCCCTTACGTTTTTTTTTTTTGGGCGAAAAATTAAGTATCCCCAATCTTCTCGAAACTCTGGATTCTGATAGAGGGCACTGAGACTTACACCTGAGTGCAAAAATGGAGGCTCTAGACCCTTCCAGAGCTGAGATATCGAAACTCAAAATTTCGACCCGAAAAAAAAACGACAGTGTTACCCCTTACGTTTTTTTTTTTTGGGGCGAAAAATTAAGTATCCCCAATCTTCTCGAAAACTCTGGATTCTGATAGAGGGCACTGAGACTTACACCTGAGTGCAAAAATGGAGGCTCTAGACCCTTCCAGAGCTGAGATATCGAAACTCAAAATTTCGACCCGAAAAAAAAAACGACAGTGTTACCCCTTACGTTTTTTTTTTTTTGGGCGAAAAATTAAGTATCCCCAATCTTCTCGAAACTCTGGATTCTGATAGAGGGCACTGAGACTTACACCTGAGTGCAAAAATGGAGGCTCTAGACCCTTCCAGAGCTGAGATATCGAAACTCAAAATTTCGACCGAAAAAAAAACGACAGTGTTACCCCTTACGTTTTTTTTTTTTGGGCGAAAAATTAAGTATCCCCAATCTTCTCGAAACTCTGGATTCTGATAGAGGGCACTGAGACTTACACCTGAGTGCAAAAATGGAGGCTCTAGACCCTTCCAGAGCTGAGATATCGAAACTCAAAATTTCGACCCGAAAAAAAAACGACAGTGTTACCCCTTACGTTTTTTTTTTTGGGCGAAAAATTAAGTATCCCCAATCTTCTCGAAACTCTGGATTCTGATAGAGGGCACTGAGACTTACACCTGAGTGCAAAAATGGAGGCTCTAGACCCTTCCAGAGCTGAGATATCGAAACTCAAAATTTCGACCCGAAAAAAAAACGACAGTGTTACCCCTTACGTTTTTTTTTTTGGGCGAAAAATTAAGTATCCCCAATCTTCTCGAAACTCTGGATTCTGATAGAGGGCACTGAGACTTACACCTGAGTGCAAAAATGGAGGCTCTAGACCCTTCCAGAGCTGAGATATCGAAACTCAAAATTTCGACCCGAAAAAAAAAACGACAGTGTTACCCCTTACGTTTTTTTTTTTTGGGCGAAAAATTAAGTATCCCCAATCTTCTCGAAACTCTGGATTCTGATAGAGGGCACTGAGACTTACACCTGAGTGCAAAAATGGAGGCTCTAGACCCTTCCAGAGCTGAGATATCGAAACTCAAAATTTCGACCCGAAAAAAAAAACGACAGTGTTACCCCTTACGTTTTTTTTTTTTGGGCGAAAAATTAAGTATCCCCAATCTTCTCGAAACTCTGGATTCTGATAGAGGGCACTGAGACTTACACCTGAGTGCAAAAATGGAGGCTCTAGACCCTTCCAGAGCTGAGATATCGAAACTCAAAATTTCGACCCGAAAAAAAAACGACAGTGTTACCCCTTACGTTTTTTTTTTGGGCGAAAAATTAAGTATCCCAATCTTCTCGAAACTCTGGATTCTGATAGAGGGCACTGAGACTTACACCTGAGTGCAAAAATGGAGGCTCTAGACCCTTCCAGAGCTGAGATATCGAAACTCAAAATTTCGACCCGAAAAAAAAAACGACAGTGTTACCCCTTACGTTTTTTTTTTTTTGGCGAAAAATTAAGTATCCCCAATCTTCTCGAAACTCTGCATTCTGATAGAGGGCACTGAGACTTACACCTGAGTGCAAAAATGGAGGCTCTAGACCCTTCCAGAGCTGAGATATCGAAACTCAAAATTTCGACCCGAAAAAAAAACGACAGTGTTACCCCTTACGTTTTTTTTTTTGGGCGAAAAATTAAGTATCCCCAATCTTCTCGAAACTCTGGATTCTGATAGAGGGCACTGAGACTTACACCTGAGTGCAAAAATGGAGGCTCTAGACCCTTCCAGAGCTGAGATATCGAAACTCAAAATTTCGACCCGAAAAAAAAACGACAGTGTTACCCCTTACGTTTTTTTTTTTGGGCGAAAAATTAAGTATCCCCAATCTTCTCGAAACTCTGGATTCTGATAGAGGGCACTGAGACTTACACCTGAGTGCAAAAATGGAGGCTCTAGACCCTTCCAGAGCTGAGATATCGAAACTCAAAATTTCGACCCGAAAAAAAAAACGACAGTGTTACCCCTTACGTTTTTTTTTTTGGGCGAAAAATTAAGTATCCCCAATCTTCTCGAAACTCTGGATTCTGATAGAGGGCACTGAGACTTACACCTGAGTGCAAAAATGGAGGCTCTAGACCCTTCCAGAGCTGAGATATCGAAACTCAAAATTTCGACCCGAAAAAAAAACGACAGTGTTACCCCTTACGTTTTTTTTTTTTGGGCGAAAAAATAAGTATCCCCAATCTTCTCGAAACTCTGGATTCTGATAGAGGGCACTGAGACTTACACCTGAGTGCAAAAATGGAGGCTCTAGACCCTTCCAGAGCTGAGATATCGAAACTCAAAATTTCGACCCGAAAAAAAAACGACAGTGTTACCCCTTACGTTTTTTTTTTTGGGCGAAAAATTAAGTATCCCCAATCTTCTCGAAACTCTGGATTCTGATAGAGGGCACTGAGACTTACACCTGAGTGCAAAAATGGAGGCTCTAGACCCTTCCAGAGCTGAGATATCGAAACTCAAAATTTCGACCCGAAAAAAAAAAACGACAGTGTTACCCCTTACGTTTTTTTTGGGGGGTGAACAATTAATTATCCCCAATCTTCTCAAAACTCTTGATTCTGATAGAGGGCCATGAGGCTTAGACCTGAGTGCAAAAATGGAGGCTCTAGACCCTTCCAGAGCTGAGATATTGAGATCCCACATAGCATTTAGCCATTATAAATATCTCAACATCTCAGCTCTGGAAGGGTCTAGAGCCTCCATTTTTGCACTCAGGTCTAAGTCCCATGGCCCTCTATCAGAATCCAGAGTTTCAAGAAGATCAGAGAAACTCAAAATTTCGACCCCCCCCCCAAAAAAACGAAAGGGGTACCACTGTCATTTTTTCGGGTCGAAATTTTGAGTTGCACTGATCTTCTTGAAACTCTGGATTCTGTTATTACATTACAACATTTGTTGTTAACTGTTGTCAAAATACAACATTTTTCTGAGTCTTGATTTCTGTGCATTTGCTGCAGAGCTTTTTTGGTGGAGCAGGACCTGCAAGGAAAGATGATGGCAGTATTTTTTTGGGAAAAAAAAAAGTTTGGGGGATTTTACTATACAATATAAAGTAAGGTTATTTTTAATACATAAATCAAATGACATTGTGCTGTTAAAATGACTGCTTTTGTGTAATGTTTGTGCATTTTTGCAGGATCTGAAATGTCTGCAGAGTGGTGTGAGCACTGAGGATGAGGAGCCCAGAGCTGAATCCTGGAAGTGGTCCCATGGATGAGACCCTCCATCTCTCCAGCTGCCCTTATTGCCTCAGATTGTGAAGCGCAGTACAGCAACAAGCTCTGGGACGAAGGCACAGTCCCCTCTGGTGAATTCATCAGAATAAAGCTGCAGAATGGACACCACTGTGTTGAGTCGGCTGTAGGATGTGGTGTTCAGCAGCTGTAAATACATGCTTGTAGTTTGAAAAAAAGCTTTGTTTCATGTGTTGTTGACTTGTATATGCATTTTTTTATTGTGATGGTTATTTTTATTTGTTCTTTTACTCATTTATTCATGTTTCTTATTGTTGTCAGTATTATAAAATATAATTATTTAATTAATGTATGCATTATTTCATCGATTGACTGACAATTGAGTTTCACTGCATTTAGCAATATAATTGTATTCATGCATAAACTGTCATATGACAAAACAAGTTTCATTTTGCTTGTTTTATTAAATTATATTTTTTTAGTATGTAAAAAGTTTTATAATTAAGTATTGGTCAGCATTTAATATATTGTTGTGTTTAAGTTTTGGGGTGGGCTAACAATGCAATTCAATTCGAGGTAATATTAATTTTAAGGAGTGATACTTACATTTTTTTGAGTATAAAATCAACAGTTTTCTCCAAAAGAGATCTTCGAGCAGCTGCGCGTCTCATTTGTGGAGACATTACAAACGCAGAGGAAAACTGTTCTAGGTTGTGCTGTCGAGTTACTGATGTTATGAATTGTTAGTGCACCTGTTGCATATATATTTTAAACTTATTACATACAAGATCGTGGAAAGATAGCATAGTTGTATGTAACAATCATAATGACAAAACAGAAAATATGAGGATCATTGGTTTGTGTACATCATAATGTGACATCATAAAATTATATTTAGACACAGGAAAAAACAATAACAAGGCTAAATATCTTTATAATAGTTCTTCATACATTAAAAAAAGTGTTATAAGTCTGAGGGATGAAACGAGATAAATTCATCAAGAAAAAGAGGAAAACTTTAAGGAGAAACTTTTTTTGGTATAAAATAAAGAAATTAACAACATATTCAAGAGATGATGATTTTGGGTTTTCTTAATTAAAAAAATATCGCTATAAGAATAACACTGTGGGTCACAACAGTAGGGTTTAAAATATAACAACTTAAATCAACCCTAAATGTATTCAAAAAATAAATGGGAAGTGGTTTCTTCAACAATACCACAACAAAATGAGCAAGTTTCATCAATATCAAGATATTTATAGATAGATGAATTAAACGTATCTTTATATCCATTATCCATATATTTTAAGTTGTTGCGCTTGTGATAACGCGTAGTAGGTCACATGATAACGTCAACATGGCAGATGTCCGGTTCTCATTCATACTCAACGAGATTTGGTTATAAAGTACCTACTATTTTAGCGCTCGTTGAGTAAGTACTTATCGAAATTAAGCACCTACTCATGAAGTATGCAGTTTGGAACGCAGCCCATCTCAGCTCTGGAAGGGTCTAGAGCCTCCATTTTGCACTCAGGTCTATGTCCCATGGCCCTCTACCAGAATCCAGAGTTTCAAGAAGATCAGAGAAACTCAAAATATCAACCAGCAAAAAAAAAAACGACAGTGTTACCCCTTACGTTTTTTTTGGGGGGGGCGAAAAATTACGTTTCTCCAATCTTCTCAAAACTCTGGATTCTGATAGAGGGCAATGAGACTTAGACCTGAGTGCAACAATGGAGGCTCTAGACCCTTCCAAAGCTGAGATATCGAAACTCAAAATTTCGACCCAAAAAAAACCGACAGTGTTACCCCTTATGGTTTTTTTTTTTGGGCGAAAAATTAAGTATCCCCAATCTTCTCGAAACTCTGGATTCTGATAGAGGGCACTGAGACTTACACCTGAGTGCAAAAATGGAGGCTCTAGACCCTTCCAGAGCTGAGATATCGAAACTCAAAATTTCGACCCGAAAAAAAAAACGACAGTGTTACCCCTTATGGTTTTTTTTTTTGGGCGAAAAATTAAGTATCCCCAATCTTCTCGAAACTCTGGATTCTGATAGAGGGCACTGAGACTTACACCTGAGTGCAAAAATGGAGGCTCTAGACCCTTCCAGAGCTGAGATATCGAAACTCAAAATTTCGACCCGAAAAAAAAACGACAGTGATACCCCTTACGTTTTTTTTTTTGGGCGAAAAATGAAGTATCCCCAATCTTCTCGAAACTCTGGATTCTGATAGAAGGCACTGAGACTTACACCTGAGTGCAAAAATGGAGGCTCTAGACCCTTCCAGAGCTGAGATATCGAAACTCAAAATTTCGACCCGAAAAAAAAAACGACAGTGTTACCCCTTACGTTTTTTTTTTTTTGGGCGAAAAATTAAGTATCCCCAATCTTCTCAAAACTCTGGATTCTGATAGAGGGCACTGAGACTTCACCTGAGTGCAAAAATGGAGGCTCTAGACCCTTCCAGAGCTGAGATATCGAAACTCAAAATTTCGACCCGAAAAAAAAACGACAGTGTTACCCCTTACGTTTTTTTTTTTGGGCGAAAAATTAAGTATCCCCAATCTTCTCGAAACTCTGGATTCTGATAGAGGGCACTGAGACTTACACCTGAGTGCAAAAATGGAGGCTCTAGACCCTTCCAGAGCTGAGATATCGAAACTCAAAATTTCGACCCGAAAAAAAACGACAGTGTTACCCCTTACGTTTTTTTTTTTTGGGCGAAAAATTAAGTATCCCCAATCTTCTCGAAACTCTGCATTCTGATAGAGGGCACTGAGACTTACACCTGAGTGCAAAAATGGAGGCTCTAGACCCTTCCAGAGCTGAGATTTTGAAACTCAAAATTTCGACCCGAAAAAAAACCGACAGTGTTACCCCTTACGTTTTTTTTTTTTGGGCGAAAAATTAAGTATCCCCAATCTTCTCGAAACTCTGGATTCTGATAGAGGGCATTGAGACTTACACCTGAGTGCAAAAATGGAGGCTCTAGACCCTTCCAGAGCTGAGATATCGAAACTCAAAATTTCGACCCGAAAAAAAAAAACGACAGTGTTACCCCTTACGTTTTTTTGGGGGGGGTGAACAATTAAGTATCCCCAATCTTCTCAAAACTCTGGATTCTGATAGAGGGCCATGAGGCTTAGACCTGAGTGCAAAAATGGAGGCTCTAGACCCTTCCAGAGCTGAGATATTGAGATCCCACATAGCATTTAGCCATTATAAATATCTCAACATCTCAGCTCTGGAAGGGTCTAGAGCCTCCATTTTTGCACTCAGGTCTAAGTCCCATGGCCCTCTATCAGAATCCAGAGTTTCAAGAAGATCAGAGAAACTCAAAATTTCGACCCCCCCCAAAAAAACGAAAGGGGTACCACTGTCATTTTTTCGGGTCGAAATTTTGAGTTGCACTGATCTTCTTGAAACTCTGGATTCTGTTATTACATTACAACATTTGTTGTTAACTGTTGTCAAAATACAACATTTTTCTGAGTCTTGATTTCTGTGCATTTGCTGCAGAGCTTTTTTGGTGGAGCAGGACCTGCAAGGAAAGATGATGGCAGTATTTTTTTGGGAAAAAAAAAAGTTTGGGGGATTTTACTATACAATATAAAGTAAGGTTATTTTTAATACATAAATCAAATGACATTGTGCTGTTAAAATGACTGCTTTTGTGTAATGTTTGTGCATTTTTGCAGGATCTGAAATGTCTGCAGACTGGTGTGAGCACTGAGGATGAGGAGCCCAGAGCTGAATCCTGGAAGTGGTCCCATGGATGAGACCCTCCATCTCTCCAGCTGCCCTTATTGCCTCAGATTGTGAAGCGCAGTACAGCAACAAGCTCTGGGACGAAGGCACAGTCCCCTCTGGTGAATTCATCAGAATAAAGCTGCAGAATGGACACCACTGTGTTGAGTCGGCTGTAGGATGTGGTGTTCAGCAGCTGTAAATACATGCTTGTAGTTTGAAAAAAAGCTTTGTTTCATGTGTTGTTGACTTGTATATGCATTTTTTTATTGTGATGGTTATTTTTATTTGTTCTTTTACTCATTTATTCATGTTTCTTATTGTTGTCAGTATTATAAAATATAATTATTTAATTAATGTATGCATTATTTCATCGATTGACTGACAATTGAGTTTCACTGCATTTAGCAATATAATTGTATTCATGCATAACTGTCATATGACAAAACAAGTTTCATTTTGCTTGTTTTATTAAATTATATTTTTTTAGTATGTAAAAAGTTTTATAATTAAGTATTGGTCAGCATTTAATATATTGTTGTGTTTAAGTTTTGGGGTGGGCTAACAATGCAATTCAATTCGAGGTAATATTAATTTTTAAGGAGTGATACTTACATTTTTTTGAGTATAAAATCAACAGTTTTCTCCAAAAGAGATCTTCGAGCAGCTGCGCGTCTCATTTGTGGAGACATTACAAACGCAGAGGAAAACTGTTCTAGGTTGTGCTGTCGAGTTACTGATGTTATGAATTGTTAGTGCACCTGTTGCATATATATTTTAAACTTATTACATACAAGATCGTGGAAAGATAGCATAGTTGTATGTAACAATCATAATGACAAAACAGAAAATATGAGGATCATTGGTTTGTGTACATCATAATGTGACATCATAAAATTATATTTAGACACAGGAAAAAACAATAACAAGGCTAAATATCTTTATAATAGTTCTTCATACATTAAAAAAAAGTGTTATAAGTCTGAGGGATGAAACGAGGTAAATTCATCAAGAAAAAGAGGAAAACTTTAAGGAGAAACTTTTTTTGGTATAAAATAAAGAAATTAACAACATATTCAAGAGATGATGATTTTGGGGTTTCTTAATTAAAAAAATATCGCTATAAGAATAACACTGTGGGTCACAACAGTAGGGTTTAAAATATAACAACTTAAATCAACCCTAAATGTATTCAAAAAATAAATGGGAAGTGGTTTCTTCAACAATACCACAACAAAATGAGCAAGTTTCATCAATATCAAGATATTTATAGATAGATGAATTAAACGTATCTTTATATCCATTATCCATATATTTTAAGTTGTTGCGCTTGTGATAACGCGTAGTAGGTCACATGATAACGTCAACATGGCAGATGTCCGGTTCTCATTCATACTCAACGAGATTTGGTTATAAAGTACCTACTATTTTAGCGCTCGTTGAGTAAGTACTTATCGAAATTAAGCACCTACTCATGAAGTATGCAGTTTGGAACGCAGCCCATCTCAGCTCTGGAAGGGTCTAGAGCCTCCATTTTTGCACTCAGGTCTATGTCCCATGGCCCTCTACCAGAATCCAGAGTTTCAAGAAGATCAGAACAACTCAAAATTTCGACCTGCCAAAAAAAAACAACAGTGTTACCCCTGTCGTTTTTTTTTTCTTGGTGCGAAAAAATAAGTTTCTCCAATCTTCTTGAAACTCTGGATTCTGATAAAGGGCCATGGGACTTAGACCTGAGTGAAAAAATTGAGGCTCTAGACCCTTCCAGTGCTGAGATATTTATAATGGCATAAATGCTATGTGGGATCTCAATATCTCAGCTCTGGAAGGGTCTAGAGCCTCCATTTTTGCACTCAGGTCTAAGTCCCATGGCCCTCTATCAGAATCCGGAGTTTCAAAAAGATCAGAGAAACTCAAAATTTCGACCCGAAAAAAAACGACAGTGGTACCCAATCTTCTAGAAACTCTGGATTCTGATAGAGGGCCATGAGACTTAGATCTGAGTGCAAAAATGGAGGCTCTAGACCCTTCCTGAGCTGAGATATTAATGCTGCGTTCCAGGCAGGTTTTTGAGCACGTATATCACGACTTCAAACCACGACTTACGGTTTTGTAGCATTCCAGGTCATTCACGCCAAACTACCTAGATGTAAACAAACCAGCATGGCGGACCTTACGGCGCTCACGCACATTTGTAATAATTTCTAACACCAAAGGCGTTACTCCTTGTTTATTTGTCGGAAACTGGGGAGGAAAAATAGCGCATGAGTCAAGATAAGCTATTATCTCCATTTTTGCACTCAGGTCTAAGTCTCATGGCCCTCTATCAGAATCCAGAGTTTTGAGAAGATTGGAGAAACTTAGAGAAACTTGGAGACAGGTATCCCTCCCTGTCGTTTTTTTCGGGTCGAAATTTTGAGTTTCTCTGATCTTCTTGAAACTCTGGATTTTCAAGAAGAAAAAGTGCTGAAAAACGACAAAATGTTGTAGTGAAGTATGTCTCTCACCTCAGCAATCCCCGCTATTCCTCTGAGTAGCTATCCATACTCGTCTCGTGCAGCTTGAGTGAAGCGCGCGAACAGCCGAGACAAATCTCATTGATCTGCGATCTGCCCATGACTGCCCATAACGGCTGTTTAGATAAATTAAAAAAATGAATAACTGTTAAACAACAGAAATTAACCATCACTGAACTTCTAAATATCCCTTGACAAACTTCATTGTATTGTTTTCCTGTCGTGACTGTAAAGTTGCTTTGAATCAATCTGTATTGTAAAAAGCGCAATATAGGTACAGTTTTAGGCAAAAACGTCTTTTTTTTTAATTTACTTTAACCATTTAGGAGATTGTCCTAAATAATAATCATTAAAAAAACACCATAATTGACATTGTAGGTTCCATCAAACTAGTTTTATCTGAAGAACAATAACAACAAAGAATGTCCATGATGTAGGAAAGTTTAATACATATAGGTCTATAAACATATGTACAGTACAATTAATCTGAACAGTGGCTTTTCACAATTATAAATTACTTTAAATTGGCTTGTTTCAAAGCTTAACATGTCTGTGGAGTGTGAGCAGGAGCTTGGGTGGGAAAGATTGAACACATCTCAAGTATTTCATAGCAAACCTGTCCACATTTCACCAGCTTGTTCTCCTAGTACTGCTACCATCATCTTTTGGAATTGAGCTTTGTTCCCCACTCACCAGAGCTGGCTTAACATGCACCTAGTTAAAAATCCATCCTGGCAAATGTTTTGAAATTGTACATAGCATAATACTGCTAGTCTTCCTCATATCAATCCGGTGTTTGAATCTACACAAGAATAAGGCACAGATGGAGAAACACATCAAATAAACAATGAATGGTATTTACCAGCATGCCAGTCTTGTCAGTTTTGGCACAAAATCTGGTTCACCAAAAATAGCTTTCGACACCCGCCCACTCATACAGTACTCACATTTCCACTTAAAGGTCAACGGTATCAGTGTTTCAGCACACTCATACGGAGAAAACTCAACAAAACATGAAAATCAAATTCAGGTAATTGTCTACCATCACTACATAGTCAAAAACAAGCAAGTACTGTTCTTTTAGTGCAATAAAAAGTTGCAACAGTACAAGCACTGACCATTAAGTGGACTTGAGTGGCGCCAAGTGTTACAGTCGTAAGAAAATAAAGACAAAGATAGCTTACGTGTTATGATTATCTAGTGTTCTGACAAGGTCTACATAGACCCTGAATACTGTTCAGCCTGATTTCCTTCTTTTTTTTTTTTTTTTTAAACAAGGCTACTATCCTCCAACAGAGCATCTATGCATTACAATATTAACAAAAGGCGGGTCTGCGATAGCGAAAACACATTTAGCTGATTCAATAATTTGGAGAAAAACTATTTGAATAATTTCTGCAGTTGTTGCTCATCACAAATACTCCTATATGATAATAAGATATATCAAAAGACAAAAAAAACGTAGGCCTACATGTAATTCCCCCTAAAAATGACGTACATTCACAGGGGTCTGCATTGTAGAGAGCAAAACCCAACCGAATAGCTCAACAGAACATTGAAGGTGCAATTAAAATGATTCCTCCCGCAAAGGCTACTTTCATGAAATAATCCTTTTTTGCACAAACCAAAAGAACAAAAAGACATGAACATCAAAGTAAAGTTCGCTTTGCAGATAGTCCCTTTCTCCTAATGACTCTCAACAAAGACCAAATACATGAGGCACTTTCTAACTCAGGCGTGCTTCAACAGCATAGTCCACAGGACTAACCATGCCTTGTTCTTTCTCCTCAGTCCAAAATGCCAGACTTAACCTCGTCATGAAACCTAGAAGAGAGCGGAGGACACAGTGGCGATTAAGAGGAGTTTGGTGGTGGCTGGTTACGTCTCCTCCACTTATTGCCTTTCTGCCACTTCCTTTGGCAGTACAGACCATCTCTGCACTACATATTCACTTCACGTCTTCCTGTTGTTCCAATTAAAGTCCGTCACAGGTTTCTGCTCTGCAGTTCTTTCCAAAGCAGGCGAGATCGGCTCAAGGGGGGATTTCTGAGACTGAGGGGAACGGGGGTCAATCAGGGGTGGGGGTTTGTCTGGGTGGAAGGGGCGGTAGTGATCAGGCCCCATGGGGCCATGGTTTCCAGGGGGGCTTCTGTGGTCAGGCATCCTTCTGAAGTCCTGTGGATGCCCTCCTCCCCCTTGGTGGTAGTTCGGGGAGCGGTACTCATCCGAACGCCTCCTTTTAGGGTCAGGATGTCTGAAAACAAAGATACATTTTGATGCTACAGCTCTACATGCAACAAAACAGTTTTGTACATGAGAACAGACATTTTTCATGTTGCCGTTAACAAATATATAGCTACACGATGTAACTTTTGGCCTTTGGTTGAAGCACAGCTACAGTTGCAATGTTTTGGTCATTATGTGAGTGGTGGTGAACGCCTTTTCAGAGTGAATTTCACTAACAACATCCAAACTCCTCCAAAAGACAGATTCCTAAAAAAATATAATCTTGTGAGGAAGTAGCTTGTTTTGACTTGATGAAAACATTGGGGTAATAAGATTACTTTTTCCAAGTAATGAGTAAACCAAGTCAACCACACTAATAAGCAAAAGTGACTTTACATTTTTATTCCCGAAGTAAAAGTGTTTCTTCTCCTGCAATTCAGAAAGGCAGCACATCTGAAAGGTTTGTTTGCCCTCTACTGTACAGGACTGATTTTGCATTTCCCTCAGCCTGAGGCTTATTCATTTCACTTTTGGTGTGAAAGGGCCTTAAAGGAGAAGTTCACTTTTCAAAAAACTTTTGCTGATAATTTACTCACCCCCATGTCATCCAAAATGTCCATGTCTTTCTTTCTTTAGTCGAAAAGAAATTAAGGTTTTTGATGAAAACATTCCAGCATTTTTCTCCATATAATGCACTTCAGTGGGAACCAAACGGTTCAAGGTCCAAATGACACTTTCAGTACAAACTGCAAACTATTCAAAGGGCTTTAAACGATTCTAGACGATGAATAAGGGTCTAATCAAGCGAAACGATCGCTTTTTTTAAAAGTTTTATAAGCTCAAATGGTCGCCTTGCTCTGTTCTGTGATGCACGTTTGTGACTCTCCTGTTCGAACTCGTTCATCAAAATGAACAAAAATTTTTCAAGTCAATTCGTTCGTTTAGTTTGTTGAATGAACCAAATGAATCGGAAAAAGATTTGTTCAGTTTGATGAACGAGTTCGAACAGGAGAGTCACAAACGTGCGTCAAAGAACAGAGCAAGACGAGCAATTTGAGCTTATAAAACTTAAACTTTGTTATTTTTTTATTAAATGAGAGATCGTTTGACTTGATAAGACCCTTATTCATCGTCTGGAATCGTTTAAAGCCCTTTGAACAGTTTGCAGTTTGTAATGAAAGTGTCTTTTGGACCTTGAACTGTTTGGTTCCCACTGAAGTCCATTATATGAAGAAAAATGCTGGAATGTTTTCATCAAAAACCTTAATTTCTTTTCCACCGAAGAAAGAACGACATGGACATCTTGGATGACATGGGGGTGAGTAAATTATCAGCAAAAGTTTTTCAAAAGTGAACTACTCCTTTAATATATGCCAAAAATAGAACTATTTTTACAATAAGCAAGCCTAGCCTAGAGAAAGAAGTAACGATGCATTATTTTCAATTAAGCAACCAAGTAACGCAATTAGTTACTTTTTAGGGAGTAACGCAAAATTGTGGCATCACTTGTACAGGTAAACTGCGGATGAACGATGAAAGTATAAAGTGTAATAAAATATAAATAAATTATTATAGGCTTACCATAGTCATTTAGGTTAAGGCAAAAACACGTTTGGAGAAAGGTTTTATCATATAATCGCTCCTTATTAAATTTTGTTATTAAAAAAAAAAGTTACATAATGTAGCTTTAATAAAAAGCCCCCCTTTCTTACCTGTCATAATAGTCTCGATGGCCGCGATGATCTCTATCGTTGCCATACTGGTCGTAGGCTCGTTTGCGAGGGGAACTGCTGTTACGGTAACCTCCTGAGCTGCGGTAGTCACCATGAGGGCGACGGTCGCCATAGTGGTGGTCCTTGTATCTGTGACTCTCATATGGGTGATGCCGATCCCCTTGCCAGGGCTGACTGCTGTTCCCTGGGTAGTTGTATTTACGGTCTCTTTGCCAATCTCCCCTATCTGTTAATAGATGAACAAGGTACCAAATGAGATCATAAAAATGACAACTGGAATCATAAATTACATAACTTATGGCTGTTCAAAAAGCTACAGCACAACCTGCTACACTTATTGTTTGATTTTTAGATCTGATAGAGCATTCGGACCCGAAGAACAGTAACATCGGACGTCAAACAAGCAGATGTTGCATCTCTCACCATCATTAGGAAAGTGCCTTTTATTGGGATGGTTGTATTGATCTCTGTGGTGGGAGTGAGGGAGAGGTCCAGGCTGAGGATGGGGTTTTGTTGTGGGCTGGGCACCTGTAGAGTCTCGACTAGATCCAGACGGTTCAGGTCTGAAGGGTTTTTTCCTGGAAGGATCATCCTTCTTCTTTTGCTCTTTCTGTGTGAAATACGAGGAGCAGGTGAGTAAGTTGTACACGAGGAGAAGAAAGACATTGAGAACGATGGATTTACCTCTTCCTCCTGTGAGCGCTTCTTCTGAGCCATCTTATACAGCTTGTGCAGTTTCCGGGCACCAAACTCAGTAAATTTGGACACAAAAATCCAGAGGTTTCTGAAAAATTAAACAAAACTGGGGTTGAATATTATATCTAAATATAACTAGAACTCCTGGAATTGGATGTATAATGCCCATTTGAGATACCTGCGCCAGATCTTGACGTGCTCAGGGTCATTGTACGTTTTAAGGCACTCTGTGATGCGGTCTCCTATCTTCAATAGGCAGGTACGAGTGTGCTGTAACTGTTCCTGTACCGACAGCCCCTCGTCTGGCTTATCCAACTGCTTCAGAGCCTTCTTTACCGGCCTCATTCTCTCTTTGCACTGCGCACACACATTACACCACGAATCAATTTTCAACTCAGGACATTGCAAGTACATTCCCATCAGAGATCATTGCCTGCTAAAGTAATGAATGACGTGAAGAAAGGGGAAATTTTAACACTCACAATGCTAAATGTTTCCTGGTCCAGCTCATCATCTTCCTCTCCAATTGGTACAGGATCACTTCCTGCAGTAATGTGCACGGGGCCCTGAGCTTTCTTTCCTTTTCCTCCTGGTTTGGCCTAAAAAAGGGAGAAGGTGAGCTGATGAGAGACATATTCACACAAGATATAACTTAAGCACAGATTTAGACTGACCAAACCTGGATATATATATAAAAAAAAAAAAAACTATCTGGAGCTTCAAAAAAAAAGAAAATAATATATTTCTAATACAGAGAATTTCATTCTAATACCAGGATAGTTTAAATCTAAGTTTGAGTCAACTTGTTGTCTAAGAAACTATCAACCACTGTGCACAGGACAGTGAAACATCATACCCAAGTTCAGGCTACTAAAGGAAACGTTCTCATGATGAAACGCAACACCACTGACTGCCAACATATAAAGTACCTTCTCTTTTTTGGACTTGGAGCGCTTTTTGTCTTTGTCTGCCTCCTTTTCTTTTTTAGTAGTTCCTGTTTTTTCTTTGTTTTCTTTGTTATCCTTTTTCTGTTTCTTCTTTGTGGGTGATTTTTCAGCTCCATCATCCTGGAAAATCAGAGAATTGAAAGAAGGCCGCCTAACTGGTTAGTGCTGTGGATTCTGCGTCGGTAAATCCCTATATTAACAAGTAGAGTTTGTTATATAGGTGATAAGATGCATTTACCTTCACCTCTCCCTCTTCTGATGGGTTGTCGGAGAGACGAGGAGAGGCGTTTTCATTGACCAGATCATTGTTAGGGGCCTTGTTCTTCTTTCGAGGTTTCCTCTTTTTGGTTTTGATCTGGGAAGTGGGAAGATACAAAGAATGAAAATGTCATAAAACATGAACATGAAACTGAACTCTACTAGATTACTTTTTTGGCCATGTGGTAATCTAACTAAAAAGCTGCATGTCAAACAAAAGTGGTGTACACCAGTAAAATGGCCTAGATGCCCATGATCTCCACCTCATCTCCTGCTTTAACAGCATCTTGGCTTTCTTGCTCCTTCTTCAGCATCTTAAGCAAGTAGTCTGCTCTCATCTGCAACTGCTTTCCCTGAGGCTTCTTATCAGGGTCATCTAGGAGAATCTACAAATGAAGACAACAAGGCATTTGAGGTCAGGTTAGGTTATTGTCAGTCTTTTGACTGCGAGGAAGCATTCATTTGACTCAATGTACCTTCTCAGAAAGTTTGAGATCAGGGTCGGTCTTGATCAGGTCCCAGTTGCCGTAGCCATGCTCATAGATACCCAATAACAGCTGTGTGTCATCATGAATATCCCAGTCTACGTCAAAGTGTGGAGTCTTGACCCGACAGGTCAGCTGAAATCTGGCCAACAAAGAAAGAAAACGTTACTCACTCTCTTCAGTTGCATTCTATTCATTCTTAAGGGAATCAAAAAATCTGAAACAAACCCTTCATTAGCTGGAATTAGAATTGAATTGGCCATGCACCGAGAAAAAAATAAAATTAAAATTGCACAATAAAATCTAGTCACACAGAGGAACTCCATTAGTCCATACGTTATCATTAGTTAATTTTGACTAATTAAGGCTATTTGGACTGTTTGGAAATATATCTTTTTCCAAAATTAGTTTAATACAGTCAAAATATACTACATTGCGTCCAGACAACTTTCTATAATTTTTATAAATTCTAGCAGACGAATATAACTTTAGAGGCAATCTATTGATTAAATAATATTTTTAGTAACTTTAATAATTCTGTAAAATAAAGTGGTGGTAATTCAAACATTATAAAAATCATCCTATATGTTGTATGTATTTTACACTAAATGAGTCAGATAATTATAATCCTGAAAACAAAAGTATTCTAGATTCGCTTTGCTACATTAATAGCCTTAATTGAATTGTTATATAAAAGGCATTCTCAAATAAATTTTGACTCTGGAATGGATCTTTATTCCGACTCTGAAACTTATCAAATCAAATTCAAGTGGTTTAATTAAGTCTCCACTTACAGAGTTACTGAGTGCAGTGTGTCTAAAGCCTAGTTCACACTACGTGATTTTAAGCCCGATTTAAGCCCGATTTGCAAATCGTTGAGTCGCCGACAAGTCAGGGTGTTATCGCGTGCAAATCGCGGGCGATTAGCGGACGATTAACGCTCGCCAATCCGTTAGTGTGAAAGAGCCAACAACGCATCAAAGACAGCTCGCAGACACCTCGCAGACAGGTCACCGAGCTCAGAAAAATATCTAGCCTGCTAGATATCTCGAGCAGTCGCGCGACTCAATCTCAGTGATGTCATGAGTACAGCCAATCATAGCAACGCATGGGTTGAGGACACCAGGTAAATCTTACTTTTTCTTTTTTGCAATTTTTTTTCTCAGAGCAGATCGTCGAGCAAACAGTGTGCAGCACTAGTTTCTGTCTGACGTCCATATTCGCGTGTTGTGTTCTTCTCTGCAGTTTCGCGTCATTTCTGGTTCGTTTTATTGCGTGGTTTTTCGTGACAAAACATGGTTTCTAGACCAGATAGAATCGTGTTGTTGTCAACTCGTTATTTGTTTGATTATTTTCAGGATTTAGACCGTACTATAGTACTGAAACAGCTCTCATTCAGTCACAAATGATCTGCTCTTATCATCCGATCGTGGTTGTATCTCTATGTAGTGCGTTGTTAACTCGTGTAGTGAGTCACCTCCTGTTGTGGATCAATCACGTTGTGTTGTGTGGTGTGAACAGCTAAACAACTTGAACACTCATGATTTCACTGAGAGCAAGTCATGTAGTGTGAACTGCACAGTTCAGCCTGACATTTTAAAATCATGTAGTGTGAACTAGGCATAACCGTGCGTTGCAAACACTATGTACTTTACTATGAAAAAAAAATTGTGTTTCAAATCTTGACTCACTTGTTCCTTTCAGCAGGATTTGGAGGCACAGATTTATGCAGCGGTTCAAACTCCTCTTCGTGCTGGATAATGGACTTCGCATTGACCTGAACCCCAGAGATCTTTATGTTAATGCCTCGTCTTTTTCCCGGCCCTTTAGCTGCAACAAAGAAATGAAACAAATTAAAAGACCAAACATAATTAAATCAGTATTTTTACTCAGCATATTAGCATTCACATACACACCTTCCACAGGGTTTTCTTTCAAGTGCTCCTCATGCTCCTGCACTGCAGTCACACAGCTGTTGTGTACCAGTTCCCCCAGTCGCTTCAGGTCTGCGATGGACTTATCCACCAGCTCAGAGTCACGGGCAATCGCCTCCAACCTGTAGAAAACGCCATAACCATTTCAGCACTACTGCTTCTAAATGGACTACATATTTTATTCATAGCGGTGCATTTCTTACCTCTCAAGCGGAGCTCCAAACTTCTTGTATGCCTTAATGAACCTATAATAAATAGACCATTAAGTAATTGCAATGTTTACAGCGAAGACTCAATTGATTGTTCTGTTATATTACCTGCGGATCTCTGCGTCAGTAAATCCCTCCACGTTGTTTTTGCGAGCTCTCGGCCTGCCTCTCCGCTTTGGTCGTTTGTCATCCTCGCTGTCATCCGTTTCACTATCTGAACCCGAGGACCTGTGCTTCAGTTTAGATCCCACGTCACTGTCGCTGTCATTAGCCTGCGCCTAAAAACATAATAATACTGCTTTTACTCAATGTGCCATGACGTATCAATGCAGACTGTGTTTATCCGTCCTCTCTGCATAGAAAAACAAAAAAAGTGTTAGGAATATTGAAAAAGTGGTTTCACGTGAATTTTTTTGTGGACGCCTCTTGATCTGCTCTGGATTAAATCATCTCTGGCGTAAAGCAAGAGTAATGAGCATGTGGCTGCAAATACACACGGCCTTATCGCCGGGGAGTCCACTGCGCTGTAAAACTTAATGACTCATTTCCAAAAGCTACGACACCGCATACTTCAACAGATGCTGCCACCACATGGGAATGCAGCGCGTGGCTATAAAATCTAATGAGTCATTACAGTCTGGGCAAGATATTACAGATCCGGCTCACAGGAGAGGATAAAAGCACGGAAAAGCCACAGGGAGCACTTCACACAACTGTCTGCTATGTACATACATTTATAATGTTCACTCACACACACATGTAAAATGCAGAAATAACGGGTGAGAATCTTTAGTCACCTCATGATCTGATTCAATATCGATTCTGGGAGTTATGATCTGATTCCAAATAGAATATTGATTAGATTCTTACATTTTTTTTCTTATTAATTAATTAGTTTTCTGACTTTAAATCTTACATTTATTTGTAAAAAAAAACAAAAACAAATGTGTAATTACTCATGTAAGTATAAGTAGCTATGTTTTAAAAATTACAAATTGAAAATTAAAACATTGTATGTTATGAATTTTCAAATATAGTTTCAAAACATACAAGCAAATCCTAAATAATAAAGAGGAACAAAAAAACAGCAATAAACAGAGCGCTTTCAGTATCCGAGGGCAAGTTTACAACACAACAATGTAAATGTTTTTTCACGTTAAGATGACAGCGTTAAAACAATCCCCATTCACGCAGACCTGCGCGCCTATAGACTGAACATGTAATACGCATGATGTCACCTTTTCACAAATTCGCATTTTGTAGTTTACACAGAGACGATAACGGTACCGTTTTCAAAAAAAGTGCATTTTAAAAATGCTTTTTTCGAGTTTTTGGTATGGGTGTGTGTAATTTATGTTGTAGAACAAAATGTCCAAGTATCTTGGGCTTTTTTACTCATAATTTGAAAAATCCCAAAGGAAAATCTCAAAGGAACTAGGGACAAATTAGTCTTCTGGGTTCTGACATCATCCCTGCACCTTTATTGCTGTGTATGCGCACACAGTTACTAGTAGCTTGACGTGGTTGTGTATGATGTACCTATGTATGTACGTTGTATGATTTGGGAATAAGGGAGTCTATACACTGGTCAAATTCAGGCCGAACCACAAATCTCTTTAAATGATTAAAAATTATCGGGAGCTCGGGAGGTGTTTGGCTCAGCTCGTAATTCCTCTCACATGATGTGAGCCATGGACATACAAGCATCTACTATTGATATGTGATTTCTCCCAACAGAAGAGCTCCAATGACAGCAGATTACACAGCGTGCAACCAACATTACCCAATATGAGCTGGCACAACCCTAGAGAGAGCGCATGAAAATACAGAGAATAACCCGCTCAGGTAACCAAGAAGCACCTCCTCACCCTCTTGTTGGAGCTTCTGCTTCTGGGCAGCATGTAGATGTCTTCCATCTCCTTCTGCTTCTGTTCTTCCTCCACCTTTTTCCGCTGATCCTCTGGAATTATATCATCCCAGTCACGCACAGCCCTCTCCTCGAGATCTGGTGCGCTTTCATCCATGGTAAAGTTAGCCACCTGCCAGAAAATAAAACACACAGTTCATGCTGGGCTGTGTCAAAAGGGGCAACTGACTTTCAAAATAAATCACTACCTCTACACTGTTAGAGAAAAAATAAGCAACATATTTTTTTGTTGTTGTAATTATTCATGTTGTAATCCATGCAATCATAATATGTAAAATTGTTTCTTCTTTTTAAATGGACACTTTAAGGCCTTAATTTGTGGGCGAAAGGGTGATTAAAGGCCAATTTATACTTCTGCGTAGGGTGCGCGCAGTAGGTACGGCGTAGCATACGCACAGACGCGTCCCATACCGCGTACCCTTCCGCGTTGCCTGACGCGCACCTCTTCAAAAATGTAACTACACGTCGCGACGACGCGGACCGCAAGATCGGTGATTGGTCGGCTTGGTAGCGTCGTATTTCCTCATACGCATTTCCGCACGTACCTTCTCACGCATTTCCACACGTACCATCTCCTCCGACGTCTTCTCTCATTTCTGCCTTTCAGTTTTAGTAATTTCACTAAAATGAACTGTTTTTTCACCCCAATAAGCTCCAACTCCAACATGATCCACTCTCTTTCAGTCGCTATTGCTTGTAGTAACTTAGCCGCGAGGAATCCAAAACACAGTGGAACATTAAAACCCTCCGCCGCCTCCTAGCGTTTCGGAGCAGTACTGCAGAGCAACCAATACCTGAACGCAGAAGTATAAATGCTCACAACGGCGTCGCCTACGTGCGAAGCCAACGCCGTACACTACGGCGTACCCTCGACGCAGAAGTATAAATTGGCCTTAAGACTTTCAAAAACCCTCAAGAAACCCTATTAAGATTAAATAGACTTCTGAGTACCTTAAACTGTGACAGAAGCTCATCGGTGGCACTAGATCCCTGATCACTCTCTCTGGTTTCAGCAAGCCGCAGGATCTCATCAATGTCCATTTCCTGTGGTTCTGATTCCTCTCCCTCAGGTTCCTTGAACAGATCCTCTGCTCCAAACTTCAAGATTGCTGTCAGTTCTTCTTTATTGAAGGGGTTTGAACTGGAAATGGCCAACAAACAGGTATTAATTATTATGTAATAAATGTTTAGTCATTTCAAGGAATGCTTAAAACATTTTGACCAGAGAAATTAGATTTAATTTTTGCGGTTCTCACTTTGAATTTGCAGAGTTGTTATCCAGTACGGTTCGCCCAGTTGTGTCCATTCTCTGAATGACAAGATGGTCTAGAACCATCTTCTTTTTCGCTCTTTCAATAATGTCTTCCTCCACAGTGCCTTTTGTGACCAGACGATAGATATTTACCTATGCAAAAAAGCCAAATACATTTCAATTACTGCTACTTCGCTCATTCAGCAATAAGGGAAGTTACACATTAAGTCAAAGGTTTGAGCTCTACTTACTTGCTTTTTCTGGCCAATCCTGTGGGCTCTGGCCTGGGCTTGAAGATCATTCTGTGGGTTCCAGTCCGAGTCAAAGATAACCACTGTGTCGGCAGAGGCCAGGTTAATCCCAAGCCCTCCAGCTCGGGTGGACAGCAGGAAACAAAAGTCCTGAAGACGACACAGATGGGCAGTGAGAACAAGTGCCAAATGCTTGTCTCTTTATATTTAATACTTATATATATACCTCCTATTCTAGGTAGGGGAAATTCACTGATGGGCATCTAAACAACCTTTGGCTGTCTATGCAGTAGAAAGGTGATTTTTCTTTTCTTTTTTTTTTAAATCAGTGCTCCATGACTAGAGAAAACATCCCAAAAAAAACCAGTGGTGTTCCCTTTTGCCAAAAATATAGAAAAACTTCTACACCCATAACGCACTGCGCTTGATCCGACTGTCAATAAGCAGGGATACAAAAAAGCAAAAGAACAAGTAGTTTCAAGCAGTCAAAAGTCTTTTGTAGACTAATAAAAGGGATATACTGTATCTAGGTGCAGATAACACAAAGAAAGAGAATATTGTTCATTGTTCTCTGATCATTCAAACTGATTTACGAACCGATTTAGACAGATCTGCCAACTTTTTTAATAAGTCTTTGAACAGAATCGACTCAAAAGAGTGATTCATTTGTAAACCGAGCATCGCTCATGCCCATAAAAAGATAGAGTCGCATGTATTGCATTAAAATAAAGTAACGAGAAGAACGTCGCCCTACGTAAGAAAGTAAATGTAGCCTACTTTGTTACTACTATAGATGGTTACAACCATAGACAAAAAAGGTTACTACCCACCTCTGTTAGTGGTCACAACAATGCACTTTTTTTGTTGTTTGTCTTAGATCGCGCAGTAGGGGGTTTCATTCATGTTAGAGACCTTGTGTCTCAGGAAAATACAGAAAAATACACTGCTGCATGATCTGTCACAGTAGGCACGCCGTCAATTATGTTACATTGGAATTCTGCGAAAATATACGACATTTGAAAAAGCAATTTTATGATCAAATTTCGAACGCAGTTCGACTATTCGAAAATCCGACTCATCCCATTCGAAAATCCGAGTCAGCAGTTGCTGTGTGACGCGAGTTCGCTGCTGGCGTATCGTGACAAGCTGGGCGCACACCTAGAGAAGGCTGTTAAAATCAATTCCCTATTTTAGTTTTCGAAATGTGTGTTGGTTGGTCCGATCGATTGTGCAAACGGTTTTCGAACGTAAATTGACAGCCCTAATAATTACATAAGGCCTGTATTTCCCATGGATCAAGCATTCCCAGAACAAGAAAAGTGCATTGTCAAGTGAGCTCTGACTGGAACATCACAACCATAGCAAATGTATACAGACAGTGAAGCTCTGCCCAAACATAACAAACACGCATGCCACATTTTATGTTCTTACCTCAGAGCCTTCTGCATTAAAGTGGTCCAGTGCTTGTTTTCGGATTTCTCCCTTGATGGAGCCGTCCAAACGCTGAACATTAGAGAAAACAAAGATACGCTTAATGAATGTCAAGCATGGCACTTTGACCAAACTTGGGCACCTCAGCTAGATAAGTTCCCATAAAATCCTAAAAACGCCCCAAGTCACCACGAAATTATGACGACAGATTTGCAAGACCAAAACAACATTGAGGTGCAAGCTGTGCTAATGCTCAAAGCTGCACCGATCAAAAAATAACTGGGGGGTAAAAATAGGCTTGGGGAACTTGCTGTCAAGGCAAACATACTGCAACCCTGACACATGATTCCTAAAGTCACCAGGGCCATACACACAACACTGAATGTCAATCGTCTTCATAGTTTACAAAAACATTAGATGGAAACCTGCACATTCTCATCTGAACAAGGACACCAGGGAAGGGTATTCGTATTATTCAATGTAATTGAGTACTCTGTAACGCACAAAAACAGGTACCATACTTTCCCCACAAAAATTGCATTGTTGAGAGAAAAACAAAAACCCAGATAAGTCGCATCTGTGTTTTTTAGGCACATTTTATTTGAAAAGTAAAAGTAAAATTAAATGCGTATGTGAAATTTGAAACCACTGAAAATGGTTTGAAACCAAAACGGTCTCTTATCACCTCATTGGCACAGATTCGCAATCAGAACAAGATTTAGGCACGGGGGTTGATATGGAAAATAATTTTTTCAGACACCAATTTGCACACAGCTTTTTACTAGTACACATCCTTCTAATAAGGGTCCACGTCTTTACTTTGAAGCTGTAACAGATAAACACTTTCATTCAGTTCATACCTGGAACGGATATCGTTTCATAGCCAGGTAATCAGCAAGGATGTCCAACATGCGGACCATCTGAGAGAAGATGAGCACGCGGTTGCCTCTCTCCCTCAGTCGTGTGAGAAGCTTGTCCAGGAGAACCAGTTTCCCGCTGCCACGCACCAAGGACTGAACAAATATCAAAAACATCTTGAAAATGACATTCTCCTATGAAAAATCCCATTGAATTCCAATCTAGGACAGTCATACCTGTAGGTGCTCTTCTACTTTATCATTCTCACCATCCTCTGGTTGTTTGATGAGGAAACCATGATTACAACACTTCTTCAGCTCCATGACGATGTTAAGAAAGCCAGAAGAGCTGCCTCTGGTGCCTTTGGACAAGGCTTTGAAGTTTCTTGTTAGTATCCATCTAAAAAAGTCAAACATTACATTAAGACTACAAGTGAACAATGATGAGATGAGCAGACGTTCTCTAAACACTTGCATTCCAACTGCGTGCCGTCTGAGACTGGAACCAAACTTTGGCTCAATCAAAGAGTTACTCGATTTAGAGAAAGCGCACAGCCTTGGAAAGAGGCATTAAATGGGATCAAACAGCGCTTACTTGTAGTACTGTTTTTGCTGGGCAGACATGTCGACTCTGAGGATTTGCTCCACTTTAGCAGGCAAGGATTTCTCCACGTCTTTCTTGACACGACGCAGTAGGAAAGGTTCCAGAACTTTATGTAGGCTCTGATAACCATTATCCCTGCCTTTACCATGCTCATCCTCAAAATCCTCCCAGGACTCAAACCTAAGTGGAGGCAAAGTCAAAATCAAGGGTTTTAAAGTTGATGCCAAATATTATGACCCCCTTCCTTAAATATAAAGACAGCTACATAAGTATATATTTAATAAGCAATTTATACTGTGTGAGCTTCTTAAATTGAAGAATGAATTCTTGAATTCTTAAAGTAAGATTTTTTCATGTTTTTTTTTAAAGAAGTCTCTTATGCTCACTAAGGCTATATTTCTTTGATCATTAATATAGTAAAAACAGTACATTTTTTAAACACAAAAACATTTTCAGCATCATGCAGACGTGCCGCATGATCCTTCAGAAATCATTCTAATATGCAGATGAGGAAAATGTTCATAAAAGAAGAGGGGAAAATGTATGACAAAGTTTAAAAGAACTGCATTTATTTGAAAAAGAAATCTTTTGTCACTTTTGATCAATTAAATGCATCCTTGCTGAACAGAACACTGAAATAATGAATTTCTTGAAAAGCATACAGTCCCCGGACTTTTGAATGGTAGTGTTAATATTAAATTTAGTTAATATTATATTATATATAAAATACTGAAAATATTTTTTTGTTTGTTTTTTTCTACCGAATATTAATTTTACATGTCTAAGCTAAGTAAACAGAAACGTATTCAAAGTCAAATTTATTTGTACTGCGCTTTCACAATATCCTTTTAAAACGGGTTAAAAAGACAAATATATTTATATAAAAAAAATGTTAGATGAACATTTTAACACTGACGACAAAAAAAAATTTCGGTACACAGCGATTATTTTGTAAAAATATTTTTCTTTTATCTTAGTTTTTCTACTCTAATGTCTAAACAAAGTATACAAATTTATTTGTACAGCGCTCTCTCAACAAATATAATTCTAAAACAACATGTTAAAAAAGACGAATAAATTTATTTAAAAAAAAAAAATGAACATTTTGATGGCCATAAAAAAATTATGTTTTTCAGTACTGTAGTGTATTTTTAGAAAATATTTTTAGTCAATTTAATATTCTTATGTCATTTTTTCAACCCTAATATCTAAATAAATACACATATATTTGTACAGTGCTTTCACAATAAAAATTCATTCTAAAGCATTGTGTTAAAAAGACAAACAAAAATATTAATATTTTAAAAACTTTTCTTAAGTTAATATTTTAACTTTTTGATAGCCATTATATATATCGTGATTAATCACATCCAAAATAAGAGTTTGTGTTTACATATATATGTGGGTGCACTGTGTATAATTAATTTGTACACACACATGTATATTTAAGAAAATTATTTAAATATAAAATATTCATATTTATATAATATATATTGTATATAAATCTCTATACAGTATATACACATGAAAATATTTCTTAAATATAGACAAGCATGTGTGTGTATTTATATTATACACAGTGCACCCACATATATTATGTAAGCACAAACTTTATTTTGGATGTGATTAATCGCGATTAATCGTTTGACAGCTCTAATATATTTATCTATGTATGTAATTATTTTCTGGTGGACTTCAAATGGCAAAAATGACTTTGTATTTTCAAACCCTGACTGTGAGTACCTACTTGTCAGGCATAAGAAAGTGCAGAAGGGACCACAGCTCTTTGAGTGAGTTCTGAAGTGGGGTCCCAGTGATGAGCAGCCTGTGATTGGACCGAAAGTCGATCAGAGTTTTATATAGCAGCGAGTCGTCATTCTTAAGCCGGTGAGCTTCATCAACTCCAAGGAAAGCCCAGTTTATATTCCCCAGCACTCCCTGCACACACAAACAATCCTTGACTCAATAACGTGCAAATAATGAAGAACAACTCATTTCCATGAGACAGAGTCGGTTCAAAAGATTAAATCAAAGATTCCTATACCTTGTCCTTCAGTAGAATTTCATATGTGGTCAAAAGTGCATTGAACTTGATCCTTTTTGTCTGCTGGTGGATCCATTCGTAGTCCCGGATCTGGTCAAAAACAGAGCGTTACACCTCAAAATAGTTCTTTTTTTTTCTCCGTGCACTTGAATTGTCTCAGCATGTGTGCTAGCTTACCGTCTTTCTACTTGTAACGTCTCCTAGGTACACCACTACGTTCATATCTGGAGCCCAAGTCTCAAATTCCCTCTGCCAGGAGGTAAGGGTTGACAGAGGAACCACCACGATGAAGGGACCATAAAGCTGGTGCTGATGAAATAGGTAGGACAGGAAGGAGATAGTCTGAATGGTCTTTCCCAGGCCCATTTCATCAGCCAAGATAACACTGTTACACCTACAAAACAAAACAGAAACCAGAGATGAAGACAACACAAATGTACAAGGACTCAACTATCCTTAAATGATCACAAACTAATATGAAAGCAAGATAACCATGCACTCTTGTTATTTTAAACTAAACTTGAACTATAAATTAAAAATTGAAATTTTAATTGAAATAAAGCTCAAATAAAATAAAATATCAGATGAAAACGTTAAACAAATTGGAAATGTTGTAACTAAGTACTATAATTGCCAACACTGAACTAAAAATCAATGAAGCTAAAGGGAAATATTTAGAAAAAAATATATAATAATAATTACTAAATATTTAAGTAAAAGTAAAACAGAAAATATAAAAAAAATAAAAGCCAATTAAAAATAAGCACTATAATAGTATAAATAAATACATTATAGTATACTAATATCTAAATTATAAACATATCAATAGTCCTAAAAATAACAGTGATAATAACCAGTAGGGTTGTCACGATTATTCTCTTTTCAACAATTCATTTCTTTAATCAATTAATACAAATATGAATATTAACCAATTACATTTTAATTAAATTAACCACAAAAACATTACGGTTAGCTTCAAGTATTTCTACAGTGTTAATATTACTTATTTCAATGAGTAAACAGTCATAAAAAGCACTTCTCGTCAACACTGTTGTTTAATTAATAATTATTAAAACACTACATTTATTAGGATTCATTTATAGTAGTGTTTCTCAACTGATAGGTTGCAACCCAAAAGTGAGTCACTGAGTGTGTGGTCAAAGAAACAACAACAACAACAAAAACAGTCCCATCTGAATAGGGCTTTATAATGTTATTCATCAGTGTTAGTGATATTCTTACAATTTATGTGTGTGTTAAGTGGGATGGTACTTGTGTCCGTCAAGCATTTTTCAGAAATCCTAAACATTTGGATCGCAGCTTAATGACCATGGCCCAACCATTTAAGAACCACTGGTTTATACTAAAAATATCATTGTGACACAAATATAAAGCAACCAGCTGTACTTTGACATCCCTAATGCAAAGTATTAAATGCTCCAGTCTAAAAACTCCACATGTACGTTACATACCTGCACCAGGAGTGGGCGAGCCAGTTCACTCCATCTAACTGGTAATCTCTGAGTTCAAGGGTCTCATTTCCAATATAAGAAGGCTGCTTCTTCAAGGGCTGAAATCTTGGCCTCTGTTTCAACACCTTCAATTTGAGCAGACAAAGACGACAGGGTTCACATAACTATAACACAGCGTGGAAATGCTTCATCACCCTTTTTCCTAAACACACTCTCATTCTCACCTTGCAGTCTTTGGAAGGGATTGTCTTGCAAGCATTTCTGTGTAGGAAACTATCAACGCAGGCTTCGAATTTCTTTTTGATTAATCCGCCATCCTCCCATGTGCACTCTGCATACGGCAGCCCCATCCACTTACACAGATACTCTGGCTCAGTGGAAGAGGTTTTATGGGCTGTTGCAAAATATAAGAAATTATATGAGTAGTAAACATCTCCTTTGGCCAAGTAAATAAGAAATAGTGCACACAAAAGCAGTGAACTTACAAGGTAAATCTGAATGAGCTTGTGATTTCCCTGTTCTTGTTGCTGATTAATAAGAGAAAAAGAAAATTAGTCAGAGATCATAACAGGCAAAAAGCAACCACTATCAGTCAAAACTTACATTAAAATGATCAAAAGCAATATTAAATAAATTAATGTTACAGATTTTGCTATTCTTTTAAACTTTCTATTCAAAGAATCCTAAAATATATCAAATAAAATAATTATAATGTTTCTTGAGCAGCAAATCAGCATATTAGAATGATTTCTGAAGAATCACGTGACACTGAAGACTAGAGTAATGAAGCTGAAAATTCAGCTTTGATCACAGGAATAAATTACGTTTTAAAATTAATAAAATTTGAATAAATTTGCTAAACATACAGTTTTAACTGCATTTTTAATCAACTAAATACATCCATGGTGAGAATCAGAGACTTGTCTCATTATAGTTGGCATTGACAGAAGTTGCGATGTTTTTTTCTTCCCTATTTTGACACATCCGAGTAAAACGAAGAAGAAAAAAAAATATAGGACAGGACTTGATTGTGTCCATTGTGAATTGATTGGATGGTGGTTTATTACTGCTGTGATTTCATGTGATTGACAGCCTTTCCACCAGTAAACACATTGTTATTTTTCATCAAGTTATTTTTATTTAATATTATGGGGGCACATGAATTTAAAAATAATAATGACCACATGTGCATAGATAAATTATTAATAATAAACACTATTATGCAATATTCCACAGAATTGGCCATTTTGACTTACCGATCACTCTCTCTAATATCTGGAATTGCTTGCTCAGGTCATTGGTTAGCTCTTGCTGGCAATTGTAATATTCTAAATCTTCCAGTGATGCTTTGTTCAACCTAAAAAAAAAAACCATAATATTGTAATATACACATTTGCTGTCAGAATCTTGTGTGTAAAAATGGCACTCATGCTTTAAAATGCCAGTTTCTTCTAGAGATGATATAAAAATGGAAAGATGTCATCTGTGTGAGAACTAACCAAGCGTTAAGCTCATCGTTTTTCTTCTTGAAGTTTTCCAGCTTCTTGATCCCTTTGACTTTCTGCTGAGTGAGGGAGTCCACGCTCTCCCAGGTGTTGTGGATGTAGGACCAGCCTTTCCACTTGATGAGGAACTGAGTTTCCCCTTCCTCTTTCTCAGGGTCAAAGTCTGCTCCAGGGTTCCCATTTTCCTCAATGGCATAGAGGGTTGTGCAAGCTCCAGTGGCTATTACCGAGGATGAGAAAAGAGTAAAGGGCTTTAATAAATAAGCACAACTGCTGTGCGTATCACTGAATATTAAGTGGGAAGAGAAAAGCCTAAGGTCTTTACCTCCTTTCTTGCCAATCCTGGTTTCAAGGACCTTCTCGATCGTCTCACTGTCGTCATCCTGTTGCTCCTCGGCTCCATCCATTTCGATAAGGTCATCAGAGTCCGTCTCGAAATCATTCTGGTCCTCCTTGTAACTGCGACATATGCTTCATCATTAGTATTTGACTACGTCATTTTAAACAAGTTATTCGAAATTAAAACGTAATTGATAATGACAATTACAAATATGAATATCAAGGGGAAAAATTCATGGTAGTTGAATTTTTTTTTAAACTACCATGAATTTTTCCCCTTGATATTCCTATTTGTAATTGTTGTGGATGTAGGACCAGCCTTTCCACTTGATGAGGAACTGAGGTAATGTGAGGTAAAAGTTAGGTTTCTGTTAAAAATCATATTTAATACATCAGGCTTTTATGCTCCATTTAGTATATGATACAGGAGAATATGGAGCTCATACTCAAGAAAAAAAGCTACATTTTATTCAAAATATTTTGTGAGGTAAAAGTTAGGTTTCTGTTAAA